TAGCTCGTAGTCGCACAAAGGAAACGTTCCTTTGAACATGATTATTCATTCATTCGTAACAAATTTTCTATCCATTAGATTTCTTTCTACTTCTTTTTTTTTTTTTTTTTTAAAGAATTTTTTAAAGACTTACTTTGAAATCGCATTTTTAAAAAAATAATCCATATGCGACAGAGATTTCAAAGATAATAAATAACTAAAAACTACTTCCTTATATCATAATAGAAAGCACAAATCAACCACGACTGGGCATCGCTCGATGCGAGGATTTATGCCACCAATAAATCCTTCTATCGCTTCGCAAATGCGAAACATCGAAATCTGAATACAGGAGGGGGAGATTGTAAATCGATGATGTTATAACTTTTACGCAAAACATCCTACGCGAAACTGTTCGCGTAAAAACGTTCCTTTTTCTTATTTAAATTCCGTGGATCGAGCATTCTCACGAACACAAACACCCTTATTATTAAAAATTCCTTATCTCGATGGATCAATCTGAAGAATAAGCGGGAACGAAGCTTTCTCGATTCAAACTTTCTACAAAATAGCCGCGTAATTACGAAGCTTCTACGAAGTGTTCTCCTCCAACGTGAAAAACAAAGAGGGCGACGAGGAGAGAGGGAACGAAGTGGTCAACGAGCGTACATCCTGCGTCTGGATGCGGATGACGCAGCAACCATCGAAGAACCGTCTTGTCGCGTCTTGATGAGCACGACGAGAGACATCGTCCGTCGATTCAAACTATCGATATCCGACCCCACGACCCCTTGCTTGGCCCTTGGTTGGGGCTGCATAACGCGATATACATGCTGCAGGTTCTGATTGCTCTCCACGGATGTGACAGATCTGCCTCGTTCGCCGCGGGACACGAATTTGTCTATACATCCACCACGAGAAGGACGAAGACTCGATATCATCGCCGGATATTCTGCCCTCTTCGACGATAAAACCTATCCTATGCAGATTTGGAGCGTAAAAGTTTCCTCCAAAAATTTATTTCCAAGCATTCGATCTTGATCTTCCATTCGATAACCGGTTTTCCGTTCAGATTTTCGAACAAAAGCAAAGTATGATGTTGAAATTAATCCGAGTTTATATCGCGTGGATCGATGAGACGACAAGTGAGACGATTCAATGTGTTGATGATAATGTTTGTTATTGAATACAGTTGGAATTGTTTCTTCACCTTATGAAGAAATCTTTAATCTTCTTACTGCTTCGGCCACTAAATCCGTATTAAGTC